AAGTCAACGTCTATTGGCTGTGAGAGGGAAATCATTTGGAAAGCCAACTGCATGTTGTAGGCAAAGGGCAGGCTTTGCACCCCGTAGCCAACCATGCGTTCCTCTGGTGTCTGCTGTATAAATACGCATCTGCTCTCGTAAACATGCTCGGTTGTTCAGTAGAAATTCCATCGTGATTTTACTATTAATGGACAAACTGGGCTCGGCAGAAATACGTGAAGTCACCAGTAGACTTGGGGATAGCAGGAGTGCAAGGGAAGATTTTCCCACGTGTTTACTAGGCCTGGGGTGTGTGCGTGCATGAGAAGGAAGCGGGTGGGGGGTCGGGGAAGAAGCTTTATATCCACAAAGGAAAAATGCTAAACCAAAAAATGTTCATCCTGGGGGTCCATGAAGTATCTGAGAACTGTTGTAGAAATCTGTCTCAGGAAGGCATTTGCATGGCAAGTTTAAATGGCCCTACAAAAAGCATGTCTAGTTAATATATACAGTGTTTCTCTCTAACTCAGAATAAGCTAATAATCTATTAATAAATAAAATTGGATTAATATATGGCAAAATATTTTTAAAAAGATACAATTATTTGTACAGAAGACACAGCACACACTTTAATAAGACATGTGCCAGTGTCATCATCGGACTTGGGAAGAAAGCAGCTTTCCTATGCCACAAATTCTTTTTTTTTCTTTTTCCAAATCAGGATAGATCCAAGACCTTTAACAAACTGTTCACAAAACAAGAGGCAGAGAGCCCTACTCCTTTCGCTGCTCTTGGAGGTGGAAGCACTCTTCCAGGCACTGGGAAGCTCGGCTTCAAGCTCCTGTGAATCAGGCAGAGCAGAAATATGAACCTACCCCTTCCACTAAACTCTTGGCTATTTCCAAAAGCAGCCAAATTTTCCAGCTTTGCAAGTAACTTTCAAACTTCTTTTGATTTATGGACCATTGAATATTTTTTCTAACTCATCCATAAGTGGAGGAGCCCGCCAAAAAATGACTAGTTAAGCAAATCAGCATTTTCTAAATCAACATAGAATAAAAAGAAGAGCTCCCAACTGTCTTTCGCAACCGCTACCAGTTTGCTACTCATCTGCAGTGCCAATGCGTGTGTTAGAGCAATGGGGTCCCCCTTGCCACCTCCAGCTTGTTGCTGCCTGTGACGGTATCATGCTGTCCGCACGCTGTTAGTGTGCTGCGGCAAGGTGCCTCTGGCCGTCATCCAGTGCGGTGCCGCTCACTCCTGTGAGGCAAATGAGAAATTGTAAATGAGGTGCAAAGCTCTGCTTTCCTCTCCTCTTCCCGCTTTCCTGCGGGATTCACATACTATAAGGCAGCGCAAAGATGTATGAACTGAGAAAAAGAAGAAGTTGGCTAAGCGAGTGGACCACTAAGTTGGTGGTCTTAGTCATGATAGCTTGCTCCTGTCCGAAGAGGAGAGCCCCCATTGCTCCACACTTTCATCCTCTGCTTCTGGATGTATGCACTTGCATCGGCTCTGGAATCTGCACGGCCCTTGATAGCTGGTTCAGACGAAAACTGAGGCTGGGTCAGAGATGCCCAGAGGGTGCTTGGCAGAATCACACTCAACTTCTTCTCTAGCTTCTCCTGTAAAGGGCTTGCCCAGCTCCCCTAGGTGGCCATTTTCCTGCCTGCCCTTGCTACATATTTCCCAGTATAAAGCTACATCTCTCTCGAGGAAAACTGAGCCAATCACCCTTGGTCCTACTTGTGGTGGACATGGAGAACTTGCCCATCACAGTCATTACTGCATCAACCTCTCAAGCCTTTGAAACCGCTCTCATTTTCCTTTTCTCTCTAGACGCAACAACACATTCAGTCCTGATTTCTACTCCTGTCTTTGGACTGCTTTCCTGTTCATACTTCCTTGCTGTTTGTGCCGTCCTTTTCTGGACATGCTCCAAATTATCTGCACCTGTCAAAATGGGGTGCCCTAAATCAGAGACAGAGCGCCAGCCAAAACCTCATCAATTCAAGTGGAGCAGCACAGTTACTTCCCAGGTCTTTCTTACACACAATATTCTTGTTAATACCATCCCAGAATGCCACACGCTTTTTCTATTAAAGCAGCATCATACTGCTGACTTGTACTTATTTAACATTCACTCTGAGAACAAAAAGCCCCAAACTAAGGAAATAAGTATATAAAATAACCCCCACCTAAAAACTCTTCACTTCAACAAAGGATTATTTCACCAAGTCACTCCTATTAAAGCCCTCTTAGGACAGCAATAACACAGCTGGAACAACCAGCTTATAGTTGTTAAAAGTGTTTAAATTAATGAAAAGTCTAGCAAGGACATTTCATGTATCCCAAAGGAATTTTGTAGCCCACTGGATGTCAGATGAAAACCAGGACTTACATCCACTTCGCATAACGGACAAATCCACTGTGAAAGGCTAAAGCCTAAAAGTGAGGACAAAGTGCAAGCTTTCCATCATTGCTGTCTTGCATGGGGCATTTTGGTTTTACTCAAAGACAAACTATTGACCACCTGTAGAAAATGAACTTTTTTTTAAATCATTCTAAAAGCAGCTTAACACATAGATTTCTGATTAAAAGACAGTTACAGGGATTATATATGAAAACTGTGTGCACCGAAGACGTTTTTCTGGTTAAATGAATCCAGGAATTACTTGTACTGATACAACGAGACCTCTGCTATCAACCAAGCGGGTTGTAGAGCTGAAGAATATCTTTGTGAAACAGAACAGAGGAAAATCTCAGTGCCAATGAGTGAGAGGAACTGGAACATCAAATAAATCTTTTCTATCTCTTTTCTCTGAAAAATGATAACTGAGATGGAAGGGTTATTTTGGTAGTAGGACAGCCAGGTATGAATAGCAGCTCCTGGGGGTGCGCGGGGGGGCCTGAGGGAGGACATGCAGCTTCCAGTGAGCTGTCACTTGGCAGCAGCAGACAAAAATGGGTATCTATCTGCCTCTTAAACAAATAGGTAAAGAATGTTTTCATGCATGCTGTATGTAGCTCAATGTGCACTTAAAGAATTTCATGTGTATTTGTGGCAACTTATACTATAAATATACAGCAATAAAACTTTGACACCATACTACCATATCAAATACTCAGCACAGCTTCTGACAAATACGTACATTGAAGGTACTAGAACCACTTCTTTGGGACAAGAGGAAACTTCATACCATACACCCAGCAGATTGTGCCTTTAGGGAAAAACAAAAAATCATCACTTTGGTGTTTTTTTTCTGTTTAAAAGTCTATCTTTCTCTGCTGCCTTCCTCCCTTCTCCCCCCATCTACCGGTGAAACTATTTGCTTAATTAATAGGAATTTATAGAATCATAGAATCATAGAATAGTTTGGGTTGGAAGGGACCTCTAAAGGTCATCTAGTTCAACCCCTCTGCCATGGGCAGGGACATCTTCAACTAGATCAGGTTGCTCAGAGCCCCGTCCAACCTGGCCTTGAATGTTTCCAGGGATGGGGCATCCACCACCTTTCTCATGCTGAGGGCTCCAGAGCTGGACGCAGTACTCCAGGTGGGGTCTCACCAGAGCAGAGCAGAGGGGCAGAATCACCTCCCTCAACTGGCTGGCCACGCTTCTTTTGATGCAGCCCAGGATACGATTGGCCTTCTGGGCTGCGAGCGCACATTGCTGGCTCATGTCCAGCTTCTCATCCACCAATACCCCCAAGTCCTTCTCGGCAGGGCTGCTCTCAATCCCTTCATCCCCCACCCCGCATTGATACCAGGGGTTGCCCCGACCCAGGTGCAGGACCTTGCGCTTGGCCTTGTTATATAATGAACTAGTGAAGTACAGTTGTTGCTATAGTTTTCTCCCATTGCACCTCATTGACTGTTTTTGCTGCGTTGTTCCCCAGCATTGTTTAGGCCTTCTGTCCTAGGTATTGCAACTTAAAACTATCGTTTGCTTGCACAGGGAATATTACAAAACTTTTAGTGGGGCAATTTCACTCTAACAAATTATCTTCTGAAGTTGCCACAGATCAGCCAACAAGTTGAGGCGTTAGCACCCCAAGAGGCCCGCATTGTCCGTTTAACATCCGAGCCCAAAAGGACTTCTGCTGTACTCCCAACCTCCCCACAGTGAGGAGCATCCCTCTTGGAGGCAGCTCCCCACCACAAAACAGTCAGTGCCACCAGGCTGTCTGCCCTGTGCTGAAAATCCTCCGTGCTCAGACAGTTACCATCATAAAAGCCCTTGAAACTGAAGCTGCTTAATACAATTCAAACTCTTTGACAAAAAAAGAGAGAAGGGAAAAAAGCTTCCCCAGCAAGCTAACTCTTTACTAACTCTTGGTTAAGCTTGTTTGAAGTTCCTTCATCATCTTGAATCACAGCTAACTTAAGTCCTCTGTATGTTTACCACCACGTTTTTCAGTTTACAAAGAGAAGCACAACACACTGCAATTGCACTGGAGTAAATA